TTTTTTTGCGGTGATCAAACTCAGGACCTTGCACTTGCCAGGCAAGCACTTACTCCACTGAGCTATCGCTTTGGCTCCCTTGCAATTATGTTTTTAATTTAAACAAATTTTATTCTGAACAATGTTCTCACTGAATGACTTGAGATCTTGCTCCAGAAATAATTATAGCCAAAAAAGAAGGAATTATACATGAAATATTTGAAAGTTAAGAAAGGCCAAATACATAGTACAAAGGCAATAAAAAATCCAAAGGTACATGAAGCCCTTTCACGTTTATAATTCTTGGTCAAAGTGCAATTAATGGTTAAAAATTACAAGAATTGAAAAATATTTAGCATGTGTATGTTTTTCAAATAAAATGGCAAAGTTGCAGAGAAAAGATGCCAGGTGCTATTAAATTAAACTTTGGCACTAAATTTTAGTGACATTCAAAAGCTAGGGCTGGGGAGATAGCTCAGTAGAATAAGTGCTTGCTTGGCAAGTGCAAGGGCCTGAGTTCAATCCCCAGCTCTGCCCCCCTACCAAAAAAAAGCACAGAAATAAAAGAAAATAAAGGAAAAGCAAAAGGATGCAGTGCTTTGTAAATACCAAGTTAAGTTGAAAATGTAAATTCTTGGGCTACCTAAAGTTCAATGATTTCCTTTTTCAGTTGAAATTATGTTCAGAAATGACACAAACTGAAATAATTTTTAACCTTCCACTTTGTGTTGTTTTCCAACAATTGTTGTGCTGAGGTCCTACAAAGAATGACATGTGCAGTCGGGGAGATGGCTCAGTAGAACAAGTGCTTCCCTGGCAAGTGCAAGGGCCTGAGTTCAACCCCCGGTTCCAGAAAAAAAAAAAAAGACATGTGCATGTGTTTCATCATTAAAAAACATTGAGGACAATAAGGTATTTTATAAACTTCTGTCTTTCAGAATTTTTCTTCTGAATATTTGGAAAATTCAGAAAAGCACTTTTAAAAAAGAACAGCCACCAAGCACTGCATTCTGACCCATCTTCCCATCATTTTTCTCTCATTCAGATTATGATAATATCTTCCTAACTGGTCCTCTGCTCTCATTTCTACCCAATTTAGCAGTCACAGAGATCAGTACTAAGATGCTAACCAGACCTGGTCATTCTTCCACCTCAAGTCCTCCAAATGTTCTCACATTCCCCAAAATAAAAGCAAAGTAAGGCCTACAGGAAACCCCTTTGCCCTGCTGCTTCCTGTTGATTACACATGAACTAATAAACTAAAATAATAAAGGAATAAAACCCAAGACTACAACGGTCATTTGCTATCTCCCGAGTTCAGTGGGTCTGGAGCTTGGGAGAGGCTCAGGAAGAAGGTTTGGTTCAGGTTTTTTAAAGAGGTTGCAGTCAGATGAGACCAACTAAAGGCCGGACTGGGCTGGGAAGCCTGCTGCCAAAGTGGTTCACCCAAATGACTGCCAGCTGGCTCCAGTTAGAACCTTAGTGTCTCAGGTGCTTCCAAAGTTGGCCTCTTCCTGTTTGTAATTCTTCGTTAAAATGCAAGTGATGGTTAAAAATCATAAGACTTGTGAAATATTTAGCATGCTTATGTTTTTCAAACAAAATGGCAAAGATGCAGAGAAAAGATGCATTGCTCAGAATAAAATTTATTTAAATAAAAAAATATAATTGCAGCTGGGGATATAGCTGAGCTTTGAAGAGTTGCCTCCCATCGACTTGCTTTGATACATTTCTTTAGAGTCTTTTTTCCTGGACAAGTAGTATATTGCTTATTAAACACTGGAATTTCCCTCTAGGCAAAATTTTTAATTTGTTCATCTAAATATATGTTAATAAATACATTTTAAAAATAGGATATATAATGTTTTTCAAATAGTATATCATATCAGTATACATAACTTGGTTTAATTCTCAATGGTATGTCTATTGTTTGTAGATTGTATTTTGTTGTTATACTTACACTGTTGTGAATATGTTTGGACAGGAAACTCTGACAAAAATTTATTAATATTATCCTGGATAGCATGCTTAGGAATAGGATCAGAAGTTAGAACTTTGAAAATTCTTGATTCAAATGTCCAAATTGTTTCAAAAAGGTGACACACTACGTTTTTACTGGTAGTGAATGGACTCGCATGCCACCACATCCTCACTGACATGGATTATTAATGCTTTTTTCTGAAGCTGATAATTTTTGGTAAGGAAGAATTGACAACACATTCAAAAATATTTTTGCATTTTTTATGTTTATAGTTGTGGGGGACCATTCAGAC